CGTCTTTTGGCCGTACGTTCACTTTTAGTATGGTTTCCATGCAATCCTTTATAAATGAGACCCCTGGACTCTGCAGTTCACACTCGTCTGCAGGCCAGAGGCCACTCTTTCAGGGATGAAGATGTTCTCATCCTTGATAGAGAGGAATGTTGGTTTGAGAGAAACTGGTGAAGATATGAAGATATAAAGGCAGCCATTTTTGTGACCAAAAAACCATCCTTCCTTTAAGAGTGGTGAAGGCTTCTGTGTCAAGTTGTACCCCTCTTACAATGCTGTTATTGCCACGAGCACTAACTGACAAACTAGAGGAGACTACCCATATTAAAGTCAAAGAATCCTCAGACAGTGAAAGGGATTTTGAAGACAATGGAAATGATGACTGGTTGGACAGTGATTCCAAACTGAAGGTGACCTTTAAACTGAAGAACTGATGTGGGAGGGACAGGTTCAGCACGTCGTTGGACATAAAGCTGTGTATTTCTCAAAATTTACCTCAACCAGTTTTAAAGAAGAATTAAAGTTCAAGCTAATTAAAGGATAATTCAGTAAAAGACTTTCAGTTTGAATGAACACTTGTTTCTGAATGTCAGGTTTAGAGGCGAGAATGAACCCAGGCCCAATGGAGGATGAAGTTTAAATTAAAAGGATTTATTAAACAAAATAGGCAAAAAAGGCTGCAGCTGGCGTGGAGGTCTCAACTGCAGATGGCATGGAGGGTCTCRTCTACAGCAAGCATGGAGGACTCAGAAAACTCAGAGACCAGCAGGGACTCAGAAAACTTGGTCTGGCCCGGGGACTTAACATTCCCACCCGGGGACTCAGGAAACTCAGGCTGGCTCGGGGACTTTACCATCATAGCTGGAGACCCTGGATGTGCTGGCTCTGKCTCTGAAGGCTCAGGTGCTGGTTCTGGCTCAGGAGTCTCTGAGGCTGGCGTAGAGAGCACAGGCAGGACTGCAGCCAGCAATGGGAGCTCAGCAGTAGCAGCAGACATGGAGGACTCAGCTGCAGCAGGTGGCGTCAGTACCTCCACAAGAGCTGCAGCAAGTATGGAGACCAACGCCAAAACTGCAGACGAGGTGGTTACCACCACTTCCTCTCCCCTAATACCCTCCACACAGGAGGTAGAGACGTCGACCCTCACCAACAGGAGGCTGTAGCGGCGTTGACCCTCTCCAGTATGCAGGATGTCATGGAGGCATCGACCCTCTCGGAGGCGCTGGGAGCGGTGGAGGCATCGACCCTCGCCATAGCGCAGGTGGCTGTAGAGGCGTTGAACGTCTTGAAGGCGCTGACAGTGCAGGAGGTGGAGGCATCAATGCTCTTGGAGGAGCTGACAGCTGGAGGTCTCGGGGACCTTATCGGGGGCGGCACTGGAGGAGGCATTCGGGACCCTCTCTGAGGAGGCACTGGAGAGCGAGACATCATTGGCTCTGCAGGGCTGTACCCAATATACTCGGGGCAGAGTGGATCACTTTTGGGATCATGGTCAGCATCATATTCCGGTTCATTCTCAGAAGGCATGGTAGAGCAGAATCCAGACAGCTTTGGGGTGGCCGCCGCTTTTCTCCGCCAGCGACGGTGGCGATGTGGAGAGCGAGAGAATGGAAATGGTGGAGCAGTCCKGAAAGCCAGGCAAGTACCCCAAAACTGGGTCCGTGACCATTTCTCTTCTTCCTCCACAAGAAGAGGCGATGAAAGGACCTCCTCTTCCCGGCCCCTTTGTCCACGTCTCTGGGCAGGGTTTCTCCTCCCATCACCAAACACAGAAAGGTAGGACTCACTCTTCAAAAAATCCAAATAACTCATCCTCCCAGTGGGTTCTGAAGCTGGCTGGATCATTCAGTCAGGTTTAGATGCAAGAATGAACCCAGATTCAGATAGAGAATGAAGTTTAAAATAAAAGGATTTATTAAACAAAATAAAGAGCTGACAGGGCAGCTAAATAAAACAAAACACAATGGAGCCACGGGGAAACACCGGAACAATGAGACAGTAGGCAAAGCCATGTAATGATCAAGCGAAGGAACAGGCGAACAGAGCACATCCTCACACTGAATGTTCACCCATGGTCTCATGTGTTACTTCTAACCAATGGTGGGTGGGCAGTACTGATCTAAAAATTAGTTTCACTAGCCCTAAAACACTACGTCAGATATTTTGGTCCCCTAATTCTAAAGCACCAACACACTGAATTTTTTTTTTTTTTGCAAAAGCTCATTCTAAAGCACTAAAATAACCCAGTCAACCCATGAACATTCTTCAACAGACAGCATGAGTCACATGTTGTCATGTTGCTCTCTTAAGACTTATCATTGACATTCCACAGCCGTATTTGGATTCATATATTGTCAGTTTTGTCACCTAGTGGATAAGTGACATGCACATGGACAAAATATATGACAGCTTCACCCTCAGCTGTTAACATTAACATTGAGCAATAACATATATAGACCTCAGTTAGTGCTTCTAAATTTAGCATATAAATTTAATAAGTGCTAATCGGGCGGCTGTGGTGTAGTGGTAGAGCAGCCAGCTTTGGGATCTGCAAGTCACAGGTTTGACTCCGCCATGCCCACATGCCGTTCTGTCCTTGGGCAAGACACTTCACCTGCTTTGCCTATTGATGGTGGTCAGAGGGTCTGGTGGCACAGTGTACCCTAGGGCAGCTATGGCTACAATGTAGTTTGCGATCATCAGTGTGTGAATAGGTGAATGTCTGTCGCTTTGAGTATCCTGAATGTATAGTAAGGTGCTATATAAGTACAGTCTATTAATCCACTAATAAATTTTAAAATTAGCAAAATCCATAAAGCACTAATCAGGAAATTAGTTTCCCTATTAGTGCTTTAGAGTAACTGTGCCCACCACTGCTTTTAAACCCTGGCTGGTACCATCTGTTGTATAAACAATCAACAAAATCTCATCTAAGTGAGAGACCAAGTCAGTATCGATCATTTACCACCAGATTTATGACATTTTATTCTGACATGGTGAATCTACAATGTAAGTTTGACATCCTTGAAATTCTGAAYTGTGCACACAATGAGTAGAGGTGTGGTCAAAATCTGGTCCCTGTGGARTAATTACCTACTTTAATTTTGTAAACAGACTTTTTTCTGAATAAGTGGATCCTACGGTGCATGAAAATGCAAAAAAATAAAAAAAAAGGTTGAATATTTAGGATCTGTATGGCAACCTCAGATAAAAAATGAAAAATTTGGGATTGTGACATTTTGATGCCCTGAAGACATCATTGTTTGTGTATTTGTTTAATGAAATGTCATTTAAACTGAAGAGCTAATCAATTCGAATCTGCTGATACCTTGTTTTTAGATTTGTTTGGTTTAYAGCAAAGTTATTGTCAGTTAAGTGTTCTGTGCCCCTAACTTTGATGGTTAAAATGAAAAAGGTCAAAAAGGGGTCCATGGGGGGTCAGAGAGACCCAACTTATTTCCTGTTGACATGCATTTTCTAAAAGAGTGGACCCTARGRTACATGAAAATACCAGASAAGTTCAGTAGTGTGTGTGTGTGGGGGGGGTGGGGGGGTCACAGTGACCCACCCTAGCCCATGGACTCTTGTGTTTTAAACAGGACAATCATCCCTAACAAAACAACACATCTATAACAAAATGGCTGTAAAAAAATAAAAAGATCAAGATGTTGCAATGAGTGGTTCAGTCAAAGACCAGATCTCATACAGGTGAATGCTGAGGGACCTTAAATGACCCAATGTCTAAAAACCTCAGTGAAGTAAGCCGTGTTGGGAAGAAATGAGATCCAAAATGTCCCTATGAGAAAATGAGAACTGGGAAATTGATAGGTTGCAGGTTCTAAACCCTGGATCGTCACATAAAAGTGGGTGGGACAAGTGAAGCAACCACACCTACCTCCATCCTTATTTGGCCTTTGAGCAAGGCCAGCTGCTACCCAGGCCCAGCTCTCTGCTCCACATGTGATGGGAAGAATGTATAAAATTATTTAACACATTCTCACTCCCGACTCGTCACATATTGACGCTTTTCCAAGGTTCCCTCTACGTCCGATTTTGACGCGCCGGGTACCCCCCTCGCCTCAGTCCTTGACGCCCGCGGCTTTTCCGGGTTGCGCCACCAGGGGTCTTTGGGTCGGGGGTCTGAGGTTAACATGAGGGATCAGGATTAATGGTTAAGTTTAGGTACTGGGATCAGGGGTAGGATGTCCATGGTGAATATTAGGTAATTTCAGGCTTTGGAACATGTTGACGTGAATTTCCTACATTTTCTAAAAATGGTTAATTTTAGGTACTAGGGTCAGGGACAGGATGTCTAAAGTGAACAAAGGTCATTTCAGGCTTCGAAACGGTAGTTTTTGCGCTTTTTCTACACTTTCTGAAAATATGACAACAGATTTCRCCCCATCTCGTCAGTAACTGACGTGACGGGGGTACCCGGCGCGTCAAAATCGGACGTAGAGGGAACCTTGGAAAAGCGTCAATATGTGACGCGATGGGAGTGAGAATGGGTTGAATTATTACCCTCATTGTGGATTAATAAACATTACAAAGCTTTTCTGAAAACAACTACTGAGCTATTGCTGCTGAAGGTGGTTCTACCTATAAGCAGGTGATCATGGAGTGGACATAAATTTTCAAGCATCTTTTCCAATTAAGCCTATTTTTCGATTAAAAACTGACATGATGAAGTCTGCTGGGCATTTTTCTCACTTGTGTTCAGATTTGAATAATTTTAGAATTTAGTAAAGATCAGAGTTTTGATTTTCATATTTTCCACGACTAACTTGAAGTATATTTTATGACACCTTCTGTAATCTCCATTTGGGAATCATTTTGGAAAACCAAAAGACCCCAGTAAATACAGCGACCTGGGTCTGAAACAGCCCCCAGCATTTGTTGAAAAAAAAAACACCACCAGAGACTCACTAACTTGGGAAAGAAGCAAGTTTATTACAAATCTGTAAAGATTACGACGTGACAAAACAGAAAGGAAAATCATGAAAGCTGTGACCGAGTGGTGATCAGTGGAGGAGCGCCACCTTCTGGAGACTAATGGAAGTGTTTATTTTCTGTACAATAGATGGAACTACTCAACACGGCCTCAAAAACAAGACGTACTTTTAGAAGACAAGACAAAGGCCTCTTTTGAAGTGTAAATATCAACTGACCTCTTTCAACCTGAAGGTGGTTTTTAACAGARTTTATAGGAGACCATGTTTGATACAGTAGATGTTAAAATCTACACATCTGTGCTCAATAAGGCTTTTGTGATGTTAAAAACAAAACACTCAGGGGTGAACGAGATCTGCCATGATTTTTCTTGAGGCTCTGGACATTGTGGGTCTGTCTTGTTGACACACCTTAGTAACGTAAACCAGGGGCACATGCTGGATTGGTTCCCCTCTTTAAAAAGGAGGAACAGAGGGTGTGTTCCACAGGGGCATCACTTTCCTCAGGAAGTAAGGTCCCCAGTAAGGTCTATTCAGTGATGCTAGAAAAAAAGAGTCAGATCATTAATCAAACCTCAGATTCAGGAGGAACAATGCAGATTCCATCCTGGTCATGAGAAACACTGGACTAGGGCTGCAACTAATGATTATTTTAAAAATCGATTAATCTGTCAATTTTTTTAATAAATTGGGAAAAATTGTTAAAACATGTAATTACATAGATATGAATAGATATAAATTACTTTAATGCCTGCATAAAAAAGGGATGCAAGTTATTGATTAATGAATTAATATAAAGATTAATGAATTAATATAAAGTTGATTGATTTTATCGATCGACTAATGATAAATTGAAAAGCAGCCATTTTCTTAAAAACCTGAGTTTTCTTTTGAAGCAAGAGGATCTTTCCATAACGAAGGATGACTTAAAAAAAGAAGCACTAAAGCATTAAAAAATAAAGGAAAGTCATGTTACGGTGCAATTGTCTTTAAAAATGTAATACAAATACATAAAAATGGAGCATGTTAACAAAATAATTAGTCCTGCATTTAGAGAAGAACATGGGAAGAAATGTTTTTCTTGCCACACCCAGCGAGGGAAAAACAAAACAGTGTAAAGTGAAGTCATCATGTAAAGCAGATGTGTGACCTTATGGACTTTGTGGGAATTTATTTTGTTATTTGACAGAAAACAGATGTGTGTAAGCATGGATACGCAAACGTGTTTTGAGAATGTACTATTCTCCTTCAGGTCAAACACCTACTTATTCCCAGTTCTCAATGGCAAATAATGATTTAAATAAAGAGACCACAACACAATAATTTATAAGAAGGGATTGATTAATTTATTTTTTTAAAGTTTTGTTTTAAAAGTGAGTAAAATTTAACATTGATGTTGGAATAACCTTATAAAAAGAGACAGGGCATTTAAACAAGAAAACAGGTAATGTTTACATTTCTTCATGTGTCCAAATTGTTGCAGCATCACAAGATGGACGAGTTATTAGACGTCAGTAATTTATTCGAAACATTAACAAAGGCAGCATTAACATGATCTGATGTGAGATGGTTGCTAAAAATGAAAGTCTATACTATAGTATTTTAAGAACACATCCTTGCTGAGACTGGCAGAAAAGATACAAAATGCATCACAAAGATAAATCAATGCACCAATTCCTGTTTGCTTTTTTTCTGCTGCAGCTATTTGAAAAAGAAACCTCTCCTCTCACAACAGACCTGTCAACAGACGCAAACAATAAACCAAGGATTATATATAAAAATATATTGGAAGTGTCAAAATCTTTGGTACATTTCATTACATTACATACATGATTTTGGCCCACAGCAAATATTGTAAGGTTGTTACAAACAGATATTTAAGTAAAAAAATTGTCAAACTGAAATAGGTGTCAGGCACAAGTTAAGCTACACAGAATAAACCAAAGCTTTACAGCATATTTAAATCAGACTGAAAACAGGACACCAGTGCTGACAGTCATTATGTGTTGTCTGATATTGTAAAGTTTGAGTGATCACACCACAGTTTAGTTCAAATTCAAAGAGAACCGAGTTCCTAAAACATCTCATTTCACTGCACCTCAACTCATTTTACAAAATTGTAGTTTTCTTGGCTATTGTCACATACATACTCCTCTTTCTGTTACTCAAAAATATTACACTTTTTGTCAAGCACTTCAATTTACAGTACATTATTCAAAAAAAAGTTTAAATGCGAGTCCTGATATTTACAGTTTATGCACACTRAGCAGTGTTTCCCAACCCTGGTCCTGAAGGCACACCGCCCTGCCATGTTTTAGACGTTGTCCTGCTTTAACACACCTGACTCAGATGACTGCAGTTCAACAAAAGCCTGTTAATCAGTTATCAACTGAAATCAGTCGTGTTGCAGCAGGGAAACATCTGAAACATGACAGGGCAGTGTGCCTTAAGGACCGTGTATATACAGTATACGTATGTATATGTGTGTATATGTACACACACACACACACACACACACACACACACACACACACACACACACACACACACACAGAAACCCCAGAATCTGAACACCCGTTTGTGTGTGGTTGTGAACATGCATGTACGTATATACAAGATCTCTCCATGGAATATTTAATGGTGACATGTGGAGACCCACAGACCTGACCCCCAAGACCCGAAGATGACATAAGGTAGATCACAGCCAAAGACCCCGAGAGGAACCCCAAGTGCGGAGCCCACCAGAGCAGGAAGAACCGTAAACCCCCCCTCCCCCCAGAGCAAACCATAGGAGAGATCCAGGAGAGCCCCCCCCAGCGACCCCACATAGTAAACCCCCTGCACCCGCAAGGGTGAGCTCATAGGTCCCGCTGGCACTCACGTCACTAGAGCAGATCCAGGCAAGGACACAGAGGCCCACGTCCCCTAGGGCGCACCACCTCCAGGCCAACGCCCGATAGGGCCAGAAGACCCAAGCCCCACCAGGCCGAGCCGGCCCACGCCTGAGCGCCCAGCCCTAGACACCGAGGGCCACCAGAGCACCGGCAGACAAAGGCACAGCCCACCAGAGGGCAGAGTGGCAGGGGGACGAAGCCCACCAGCAGCAGCGGGTCCCCAGATGAACCAGAGGAGGGGGCAACCCAAGACCCAGCCTGACACATATTCAAGCATACACAGACACAATCACACAATCCCACCCTCATCCTCACCCACTTATTCAAAGACACACAAGATGGACGCAATTCTCCACTCACACTCTCCATACATACTCTATACCCCCCAGGCCCAGGACATGCACCCGCCCCCTACAGAGGGCAAACACAGGAGGTAGACCCATTCATTCTGGGGTGGAGAGGAGCAGACAGCCAAGGCCCGGCCCGCATNCACACACACACACACACACACACACACACACACACACACACACACACACACACACTGAGCTCATCTTGCTTGTATGGCAAAGCAAGATGAGAGCCCAGTTTCTTTTTTTCCTTTCTGACAAGTTTGCAAACAGATCTCAAGGCAGTCACGTTTGTTTCTCCTCTGTTATGGCTTTTCAAATTTTAAAACATAAAGTTTTTTATGTGGTTATGATGTATTAGTAAAGGACTTGGTTACACTTTTCAACCAGGTGACGTGCTGTCAACGACCCAGGAGCTGATCATCATCATCAGTATCTCCATTTCTTCCAGTATTGTCATCTTTAGACTAGTTCTCCTGTGGATTGTTGAGAAATGCAGCCTAAGKGAAACAGGACTTTAACAAATGAGTGCTGATGTATGGAAGACTGTTTTCGTCCCCCACGTCTTCTTGACTTCAGTTTGGGTTCAAAATGTAAATATGTGTTTGAGAATAAACGTGTTGTTGGGATAGATGCATGACTTTTTACAGCTCGGTGTCTGCTGTCTTGGCAGTGGAGTGGCCGTTGGTGGGGGGAGGGGGGTTCTTGTCTGCCTCAGGGGACTCTCCGTTAACAGGCTTCTCCTGGGTTTCAGGAGGGGGATTCAGAGGGGCTTCAGATGCAAGGGTGTTCCCCTGATTCTCCTTATCCACTGGAAAGGCCTCCTCTGCCTGCATTTCATTAGAAAATAGAAAAAAAAATCAAACAATAATAAGAATATTTGTCTCATGGAGATGAATCAGATTGATAGCACAACAAAACAAAGTTTGTTACAAAGTTAGTAACAACAGGTACTTACCAGGTTTGTACCAGCTAAGTGCCAAGCTGCATAATGTATTGCTAACATGTGATCTAATGATTTCATCTTAATTACACAATAGAGCATAACAAAATATACATTAGTTTTCCTTATTCGTCTTTAGTCGTGAGAAGAAGAAAGACAACCTCTATTCTAGGTTTACCTACATTAGGGCAAATATATACAAATCAATCTTGTATTTATCAGGTTATAAAACTCTAACCTCAAGCATAAAAAACCACACAATAAATTCCACCACATCATTATTTGTTAAAAAAAAAAGCTCAACTAGAAAAGCTGTTTAGAAGCAACATAAAACACTTCATCCAAACTAACAGGCATATTAGTGGAACTTTGATGATTTCTGCTTGTTTTGTAAAACACATGAGATGGCACTTCACAGCCACTGAGTCAGTCATGAAGTCCTCTATAGACCAAAGGATACTATGGTTAAATCTGTACTATTAAGCAAATAAAGCATCTGTACCATAGCTTATGCCTGGACCAAACTGAGGCCTTGTTTACTCTGAACTGGTTTTCAGTGAAACTGCAACATTTTTGTTGTGATCCAGCCACTCATCACTGGTGTTCTGAGTCTTTAGGTGCTTTTCTATTGCTAAGTGCGGCTCATTTCTCTCCACTATCTAGTTCTGTATTTTTTATTGGCTTTACTTAAGTAAATCATGATACATCAGACTTGTTATTATTTATATAACTTGGTAAARGTCCAAAATAATGACTGTTTTTTTTAAATATACTGATAAAAAAGTTGTAGTTCCTTTTAACTGTAAGTATAGATATAAAAATGAAAACACTTTCAGGACTGGCATCACACATTTTGTCTCTAAATAAAAAAAACTGTCTATAGAAAACTCATATGGGTTGTGTTTTCAGTACTACATGTACGCAGACACACCCTCTTTTATGGTCTCTGTCCTGTGACATCATGAGTGTTGCAGAGAAACAGCTGGGCCTGGCAGCTAAATGAAAATGTTCTGAGCTCTGTAAATGCAGAAAGCAGCAGAAAGCAGGGTGTGGGTCTCTGGATCAGACCCACACTCTCCTACTCCAAACATTTGCTGTGATGTGTGGCCAGCTACATTCCCTAAATTTAAACACTGACAGGCATTTATATAAAAGGAAATGGTGTTGCTCTGATTTATTCAAAACACAGATTTTACACATTAAAAACATTCACAGGGATAGAGGACCAATGGCAGCGCTGTAATTGGAGACACAAGCAGATGCTAAAAAGAAACTTACAAAGATACATGTGCAGTCTGAATGGGGAATAATATTCCTTGTAAACAAATTAGAATAACACAAACTGCTCAGCATTTGAAATCCATGTACGGTTTGTTAGTATTTTAGGTTTCAAAATAAAACAAGAAATTATGGAAGTGTGTTCAGGTGGTTTTTATTTTTATTTTTTATTAAATTAGAGATACAACGTATGCAAAAATAGAAAAGGCAAAGATAAGCTTTTTATTTTGTTAGTACACCACTTGGGACTTTCTGGCAGAATCGGAAATTATGGCTTAAACTCCTGGTGCATTTGCGTTTTGGTAAATTGGGTCTCCAAACATAATGTGGCGTTCCATGATGATGCAACGCATTGCTAAATTCAGAGTGTGTTTTTCCACTTTCAAAAAGTTCGATAATCAATGAAGAATGCAGTTCGAGTGCAGCCTTTTTTTCAAACTTTTTTAATCTGAAAGTTTTACARAACAAGTACAAAAACTGACACCCAMATATAACAYTAGCCTGGGAAAAACCAGCACCTTGTTCTTTGCTTTGCTTCTTACAGAGAGCCCAGACTCTCAGCTGCTGAGAAACAATTTCTTGCTGGAAGCGTGGACTCTGTTGAAGTTTAAAATGATTGGATCTGATCCCAGTCACTAACCTTTGCCCGTGACGTATGCAGTGCACCAGCTCGATTGTGAAGGAGGCTAAGCTAAGAAGCTAACTGGAGAAACTGCTGGGCCTGGCAGACATTGCTTCGCAATGCAATTCCTCTGCCTCCATTCAATTGAATGGTGGCACCTATTGCTATCTACCTCAAAAAAAGGATMTCTGTACTTTATATCTTTATTTCTATAGTCGTACATTAATGCGGCCCGAATGGCAACATGCACACCTACAAATGTTACATCCAACGAAAATGTATGTTCCATACAACGACCGGCTCAGCAGTGGGAGGTGAAGCAAAAATTAAACACTGTGGATTTTGGTTTAAAAACAATGAAAAAAAAAAAGAAAAGAACACAACACATTTATTTATTTTAATTTTTTGCGATTTTTAAAACGATTTGAAAAACCAAAGAATGRACCATACACTGATGAGAGGAACTGGCCAAATTATCTTCGCATCTTTCGCTGTTTAGTAACTGTTAAATTAAAAAAATATACATATATATGCAGAAACACTAACTATATATAAATTRTGCTTACCAGCTTTGCGTCCTTAGCGCCAGGCTTACGTTGACATTTGAAGTACCATGCAATGATTCCAATGGCAACAAGGAGACCGGAGACCAGGATTCCCACAAAGACAGACGGACCTGATGATGATGGGGCCTCAGTCTTTGTCAGACCCAGCTACAAGAAAATGTAACAAAGTTGTGACAAAATAAAACACAGTATTTGTATTTGAATAAATGCATCCTTCTTCATCACATGAAATTACAAGAAATGCTGCAGAATTAGAAGATTGTTGTCATGCAACGTGTTTTTCCTTTTTTTGGCATAATTTATATGAGTAGTTATTGTTTGTAATAACTTCAGTAGCATAAACTTAAATATATATTTAAATTTTAGCTTAATATCTGTACAAATGCCTGAGTTTTTAAATGACACRATTTAAGATGTTAAAAAACTGGAAACATGTCATAATTGTGTCAATTTTAAGCAGTTTTCTTACCCCTTTTTTCACATTTTCACTCTGTAGGGCTTCAGCTATTGCAGCTGGCTTAACTGAAGATGTAGTAAAACAAATACTGTATATTAGTTATTAGTTATGGCAGCACTATTAATAAATACATAAAACTGTGTAAACGCTGTTATTTTTTATGTTGATACTCACCATCACGGCTGCTCACCAGCACTGTTTTACCCTCTTGGAAGATTTTTAGACTGCAGTTATCAGAGCTGCACCAACTTGAAGGATTTTCTTCAATAATACGCTTTGTTTCTTCCTGTAAGACAATTTTGTTATGAATAAAAAAAACTCAGAAACCTGCTTTTTCACTTTATCTATCCCAGTAAACTCAGTATAAAGTTTTAAAAAAATGGTGCAAGCATGAAGAAAATCAAAGGGTTTCTTTAAGAAATTATGTTGACTAATGTGATTTTTGCATTTTCTACACAGACCAGTGTGATACTAGAAAACGAAATGCAGCTGAAGAAGTTGCTAACCGCACCTTCTTTTTCCATCTTATCCCTGAATTATGATGTCACCTCATTGCACAACACTTCACTCTATAGAGTAATGAAATCCAGTGCCCTGGAGGACTACTATGAGCAAACCCAAACTCCTCCGTTAGGGGGGAGTAGGCCCACAGCTGGATTCGGCTGAATCTCACAAATGTTTTGAGGAGAGGAACAAGAATCACAGAAGGGCTGGACAAACCAGCAAAATTAGCCCTCTGGGGCTCATATAATTTTAAATGTTTTACTTGTGAAGATTCCCTTTTTGGCCTTCTGTTATCTTTACTAGAAGCAGATGAGTTGGTTTGCATTTGTGTTTGAACTACATTAAGAATGTATTTGAAGGGATGTGAAAAGGTGTTTAAAAGGATTCATTTTGTTCCACTAAATCAAGCAGATGTTTTATTCAAGGCTATTCTTCTTTGCTTATTTCATTGTCTTTCAATGTCTAGTTTCTGCTTTAGTTCTGCAGGTAATCCTGACTCTGTGAATGTCAAGGAAATGAATTAAATAGAACATTTCTAGGGCACTAACGCAGCTACCAACCAAATCTCCAACTCTTACCACGTTTTTTCAATCAGTAACCTAAATGCAAATTTGCTGTGCTTTTCATCATTTCAAACTTTTCTCTGGGATCAATAAAGTACCTATGTATTTGTTGAACACAACCAAAACTCAAACCAGCTTTCTTTGATTTGCCTCGATAGTTCCAATGGTAAAGAAAAAAAATTGTATAGGTCTTCTGGACGGGTTCTTCTCTAATGAAACRTTTCGTCTCTCCTCCAAGAGACTTCTTCAGTCTGAGAGTTTCAGGCAAAATTCAGGCTTTTAAGACCTGCTTCCATGTGACTGATACATCACATGCTATCGTTGACACCTAATTAACACTTATTGTTAACAGGGGGTGGAGTGATACTGGCAATGGCCGCGCTGTAGGAGGGGGACAACTGAAAACGGAGGCCTCCACCTCTGTTTAATGATGGACGGTCTTTCTTCACAAAAATGGCTTCTTTTACTCCTCTCTCAAACCAACGTTCCTCTCTATCAAGAATGAGAACATCCTCATCTCTGAAAGAGTGACCGCTGGCCTGTAAATGAGTGAAAACTGCAGAGTTCTGGCCATTAGATGAAGCTCGTCTGTGTTGGGACATTCTTTTGAAGACAGACGAGCTACATCTAATGGCCAGAACTCTGCAGTTTTCACTCATTTACAGGCCAGCGGTCACTCTTTCAGAGATGAGGATGTTCTCATTCTTGATCAGAGGAGCCCAAAGTGGGGCCCGCGGGCCAAAGTTGGCCCGCCAAGCCATTTGATTTGGCCCACCAACAGTTGCCAAAGTTACAAGGTTGTAACCTGTTATCCTATAGAAACACAGTATTACATACATTGGTCAAATGACTATATAAAAGGGCTGTAGTGCATATAGTTTTCATTCATGGTGCTGACATATCTTGGATTTATTAGGATTAAACATGAAACATGAAATGACAACAAGAAATATTTAGAGCAGATTTAACCCCACATGTAGATTTGCACACTTTACAAGGCCACAAAACTCATATTTTATCAATTTATGAAATATCCCATGAGCCTTTGCTATAGTGTATGGCAGACTTTCTCCAAGTGCACAAACTAAAACAAAAGAGGGCCATTGCACAGCTTAATTGTTAAAAATAAAGGACTTTACTTTAAAAGGTATTTGTATTTCATGTATTATATTACTGCTTTTGGCCCACAGCCCTGGATAGATTTTCATTTTGGCCCTCTCGGGGAAAATGTTTGGGCACCCCTCTTCTTGAAAGAGAGGAACGTTGGTTTGAGAGAGGAGTAAAAGAAGCCATTTTTGTGAAGAAAGACCATCTATCATTAAACAGAGGTGGAGGCCTCCGTTTTCAGTTGTCCCCCTCCTACAGCGCGGCCATTGCCAGTATCACTCCACCCCCTGTTAACAATAAGTGTTAATTAGGTGTCAACGATAGCATGTGATGATCAGTCACATGGAGGCAGGGCTTAAAAGCCTGAATTTTGCCTGAAACTCTCAGACTGAAGAAGTCTCTTGGAGAAGAGACGAAACGTTTCATTAGAGAAGAACCCGTCCAGAAGACCTATACAATTTTTTTCTTTTTGATTTTTTTACCTGGATTACTGAGATGCATCAGGACGTTCCAATAGTAATTTATAACTTCCTTTTGTAATGATCTAAGCTGTCAAAATGCAGACATTTTAATATATAAACTGTATAAGAAGTGTAAAGAGAATCAAGATCAAAAGAAATGGTAAAGCTACTCATTAGGGTCATTATTGTAACCACAAACCTTTGTCTCTCACTCATTTTCACAAAACACTTCAAGCCAGTAATTAGACAACTTCTGGCCTTCTTAGTGTGATCTTTGAATGGACCGGGGCAACATGGTGGATTGGAGCCAACCCATAGTTGATGTGTCTATGTGCCGCCAAGCTAGGTTGGCAAGGCAGGCAGATAATCAGACAGACAAAAGGAAAGAAAGAAAGATAAGATGAAGATAAGGCAAGATGGATCCTATTGATCCCAGGGAGTATTTTACAATAATAAATACACAAAGCAACTTTGCATTTAGTTAAAAATGCCAAGTTAACCACAGGAAGGATTGATAAACAGAATTTGTTCACTGTGTTTTGAGAACGATACGAGGGACAGGTTTGCCACACATTAAATGTGTAGTGCTCCACACTTGTTCTGATCCTACAATGCTCGCTTTAATCCTGAATGCTCACATCTACGCATGCAGAATGTGGCTGGTTCAGGTAGGTTTTTGTGAACAGATACAGGAAGTTTAAAGTACCTGTGACATTAGATATTTGTCATAAAWTAGAATGCATTTTCAAAGAGATAACATTGGTAATATATTGCAAAAAAAAATAAAATTCACGCCACTGAGATGAACAGTTATTGAGATATTTGCATATGACGAAACAGGAAGTGATGTCAAAGAGGAATGTCAGAACACRAACAGAGCGCTGCTACAAGGCTAACAACACAGACTGTAGAGAAGATTCTGATGTTTCTTTAGATCATTTTTGAGTAACTATCACTATCAGAGAGAAATGAAGAGTCAGAGTTCAAATAATATTTCAGTTAACAAAGACCAGGGATTTTTCTTAAAGAGTTTCCCTTTGGCATCACATCCTATTTCATTTTGGCTGAGCTAAATTTAAAAGAAAATATGCTGGTTCTGTGACAAAATGGGTAAAATCCTGTGTGTTATGTCAAATTTCTTAAATAAAAAGATGTTATTATTGACTATTTTTTTGTATTTGAAGGCTATGCATGTCACAGGCACTTTAAGGATAAAATATTTTTATTCTGCCATTTTACCGAACTATTTTGTGAAAGTGTTTCTTGAAACCTTGACAGAAACAGGACTCAGACCATCACTGTTTKTTGTGTTAAAGTCATTGAGACTTGTATGAAAAAGTAAACTCCTTTTCAGTTCTGTTATTATGAATTAGGATGTAAAAAGAACTGGTCCTCAATATATCTTAATTTAATCAAATAAGCTTTAAATAAAAAATGGCACATGACATACAGTATTTAATTTACCTTTAATTTCCTTTGACACAGCAGTTGTGCTTGGCTTTTCAAATRCTGCTTTTACATTTTTGTTAATGTCATAATATGAAATGTCATTTGTTGTTGTCCATTTGAGGTTGCAGATTCATGTGACTTGTGAATTTTAAAACCAAAACAAAGAATTCATGTTTTTCCTTATCAAGACAGTATGAATATCGAAATAAACTGAAACATAAAAACCCAGCAAAGACAGAGCACAGATGCTTGTTTTACGATACCCAAGAGAACACGGAGAAACATCCACTCYTCTCTTTGTACAGATCACACCAGCAGTTCCAGATTTACAATGTCTGAGGAATGTTTGAGAAAAGATCAGGCTTTGTCTGGGCCRCATTTCAAGCTCTATACAGCTTGTATGTCTATTTCCTAGTAGATTGTGAAACTCACGCTAGGCACAAGGTGCAGAGGRTCATAGAGAGGTCTTAGGTGAAGAGAAACAAGTTGCCAGAAGGGAAGCTGGAATCAGCTTTTCCTTTTTAATTCGCTGCGGTCTTAAACACCAAGCACTGCATGTCAAACCTGCAGCTTTTGGCAGCCTGATATTGCTTGTGGTTAAAGGAACTTTAAAAGTTGGGAAACGTGCACTCACACAGTCATTTGTTTTTTGTACTTCGGCCTTGACGGCAGTCTGTTCTGGGATGTCCTCTTTTCCAACACATTGTACGTTAGGCTGATGAAAAAAAAAGCAAGATCAGATCCTTTTAGCATGTAAAACCTCACAACAACACAAGAGATGAACATAGCAAAATATGTTTTCAGTAAATATCTTTATTACAATTCTCAAAAGTAGGGGCCTTTGAATGATGGATTGTGGTCCTGATCCTGAGCCAAATTAAATCTTATCTGCTCCCAGTTATTAAAATTCAATAGATTATTTTATTTTATATGCATGAAATTTGTATTTTCACATTAACTGTAATTTTTAAGCATTTTCTTTATTTCTGCAGGATGGCCAGCCTCTTCTTTCTGTGGACTAGTACAAGCTTAAAAAATAAGGATGATGGTTACTAAAAGAAMAAAGTTGAAAGAATGATTCTGTCCATCTTTGAGTATGTGACGTGAACAACTGTAAAATGTACTGAATTAAAGCCATTTTTGTATTTTCAAATTTTGGTGATGAGCGTTATCAACAACCTTTCACAGCCGCTGACTGCCGAGCAAAACAATTGGGTTTTAATTAAAAAAAAAAAAAACAACAACCAAGGAAGAGTTCAAATGTGACGGACTGTAGATGGTTAATTGTTGTTGAGAATGTTTACCTGTGAATCAAATAGTAATAAAACAAGATTTTCTAAAATGCCAACATTGTATTTTTAACCCTTTTTCCATTTATAAAGATTTTTGTTTTAATTTGTTTGAACARATCTGAAAAGGCCCCAGGCCTAAAGTATTCTTGCTTATTTTTGCAAGATCTTATCATTTTGAACTCCAACTGAAAAGTAAAGAAAAAAAATGCTCAGACACTTACCGAAAACGTTTTAACAGAGGAGTCACTCAAATTGGTAAGAGAAGGGGTGGTAACATGATCATCTGAATTGGAAATGCTTTTGTCTGAAGATTTGGGTTGTGTATGGGCTGCAGAAGTAGTATTAACAACTGAAGGTCCTGCCAGGGAACACAAGGCTTTAGAACTTGGTGTGGAACAGGCATTTTTCTTTATAAAGGAGCACTCAAACCTTTAAGTGTTGTTTATAATAAGGCTCTGAAAGTGACTATTTTTAAACTTCATTTCATATGCATTAAATTCCTTACCTCCAGTGCCATTTGACTGAGTGGAATTGGAGTGTTCACCCTCACCCATCACCCCACCTGCAAAAAAAATAAAAATAAAAAAGATTATCTCAGGTTTTGCATGTTCAGTATTTCCTGGTTTATTATAAAGGTTCCTCTGTGTGAGAGTGTGTGTGTGTGTGTGTGTGTGTGTGTGTGTGTGGGGGGGGGCATTATGTTCTTTTCTTCATTTTTTTGTCCTGCTCCCTGATTGTCTTAATGGTACCCAGCGGTACAAGTCAGTGCATCTTCCCTTCTTTTCTCTCCCTCTACCTTTTCACTGTATTGATTTATTTGGTCATATCCACACAGCATGGACGCTTTGTAGTTCATGTAATTCTAAGATGGTATTTGTCCCCTAATCAAAGGTAAAAAAGACATGTGTCACTTTTCCACTAGKTGACAATATATGAACTCAAATACAGATGAAGAATGTCAGTCAGTCTTAAGAGAGCGACATGGTAACATGTGACTCATGTTGTCTGCTGAGGAATGTTCACAGGTTGACTGGGTTATTTTAGTGCTTTAGCATTAGCTTTTGCTAAAATTTTTTTAAGTGTGTTAGTGCTTTAGAATTAGGGGACCTAATTATTAGTGTTTTAGGGCCAGTGGAACAAATTTTTAGGTTAGTGCTGCCCACCACTGCTCTTGAATTTTGTATTTGCAGCTACTGCTGTCATTAACCTACTGTATGCTTTTCTTTTTTTCAACTACACCTGAACTTTCTATCCTTTCAATCGGCTGAGGCGGATGGCCGCTCGTTCTGATCTTGGTTCTGGTTCTGTTAAAAGTTTCCACCTAAAAATGAAATGTTGGATTTACTTAACCATGTTATGTGACCTGGTTCCACTTAACTGAGTTGAGTAAATTCAAAGCAACATGCTCATGTTCTTTGGCTAAAAAACTGGTGTATTGCTTTGAATTTACTCAACTCAGTTAAGTGGAACCAGGTCACATAACATGGTTAAGTAAAGCCAACATTTCATTTTTTACAGTGCATGCTGCTCAGAATGGGAAATGGCACCAAAGGTGGAAATAGTTGCTCCTTGTAATAATTGTAATAATTGTAATTGTAATCTCCTGGCATCCACAGCTAGACAACATTTCTACTAGTTAGTGTTTCCTAGTGTACTGAATGTGTTTGTAATGATAATACAGTCACATTCAGTACATTAGGAAATGCCACTCTAATGAYTGATTTCAATCTGACTCAAAATGACTTGTTATTTTTGCAATATATTGCTCTATAATGACTTGTGATTTGTATCCTTTGCAAGCTCTGGACCAAGCGTAAACMTGTTAGGAAGTTATTTTTAYTCATTATTCTATGAAGTTTGATTGTTTTATTTTTGTAATAAATTCCCAAATGAAAAAATGTTGGTTTCTTCTTTAGTCATTTTTTATGAAAATGGGTTCCCTGTATTCTTACGATTTCACACTTTGGTGTATGAGTCTGACTTGTAGAAAGGTGCCCCCCAGCAGGTAAAACAGTGTAGCAGAGTGCAGAAACAGTATCATCTGTTTCTCCCCTCATTTCTTTCCAGCCCACTCCCCATCAAAGCAAGCTATAATGCTCTACTCACTATCTCAAGACTTAGATTATAAAAGTGTGAAAATATATTTCCAGCAGATTTAAAATTCACATTTTCCCCCATTTCCACAGAAGTTATTCCAGATTTGATTAATTTTTTGTGTCCTTTAAAATACCTGAGTTTTTTTCTTGTTTTATTGGCAGAGTTGTTCTTTCTGACCATTCACYGGTGTATACGGTTTAGCTTTTCTTTGAAAAAGGGTCTTAGTCTAAATTCAGGAGACTAAACCCTCTACTTTTGAAAAATACTAGATTCAGTTCTGTACTGACTYGACTCTCACACCGAGTGCCATTTCTTCACACACCTTTATTGAACCCCATACCAGACATTTAAAACATCAAGCACCCCCTTGTGGTTCATTCTTGTCAGTACAAGTTCATATTGTATTTCTGAATACAGTTGAGATATTTCTCTCAACTAATTATGTCCCATATTCTTTGGGAGACCTGTAAGGCATATTCAGGATTCAAGGGGCTGGATAATTTCTTTCATGTCATCAAAAAAATGGCTTGAACATATTAAACATCAATGTAATTTAGCCATTGTGGAGAAAAGATACTTGTCTGCTCCAAATTCTGATATATTTAATGATATCTCTGCAACCTGAACTGCCTTGAAAAATTTCCTTATTCACAATGCAAAGGTAAACTGTTCCTCCAGGGGCTCGTTTCACAAGAGTCAGATTTATAAATCCAGGATATCAGCTGTAAGCCCAGCTTGAACAAGCCCCATATGCCTCGTGCACCACAGCAGCCACAAAGGAAGGGTGGGCAACTTGGCAAAACAGCATGTCCGAGCAGACTCTGAGGTGAAATACAGCAGAAGCTGTGCATTTTTAAAAACAGATAATCTGATATTTATTTACTTAATCTGTGATATTTTAATGCAAAAAAAAATGCATTTAATAATTGTATGAAACACACTGATTTCTGATGACACTGCAAAAAATGTCCATCTAAWAATTAGTTTAAAAAATATTAGAGCCTGAATCTTCCCAAATTAATAATAACTAATTTACCAGTGAGGTTTGACAGWTGCACTTGGTAAGACTTCTTGGGGAAAAATTCCAGGCTAACAAAATTAATAATCCAACATATGCTGCTCTTGCTTAGTATATCAAAATTACATTTTGGCTGATATAAGATTATAAGACTTGTTAGATGGACAATTTTTGCAGTAAAGTGAATACTTACTGCTCAGAGACATTAACATATTAAATAAGTTCCACTTTTAACCTGGTCAGATCCAGGTTAGTTTCAGAGCACTTGTGAAAAATATCTGCTTCTTCTTTTGTGCAACTGAATCAGTGATTAATCCAAGATTACACTAAAATCCCGCATATATCCCCTAGTTTTGTGAAACAGGTCCCAGCTCTCTCTCAGTGCAGTGTTTGTGGGAATGAGGTCAGAGAAGAGGGTAGGTTTGAACAGCTTGTCCTGGTGATGCAAGCCTCATGCCCAACCTATTCTGGCCCACATTCTCAAGGATGTGATAATTAGTAGCCCCATATGTTCTTATGCTCACTGTCTGCAGCCTGTGCAAATCACCAACCCAGTCCAAAGTGCATGACCTGCTWAACACGCATCCATCTTCTGGAGTACATCCTATGTTGTGTGATAATTTTAGAAACAAATTAAAGGGGTATTCCTGCCATTTGTAAGTGGGGCACTGTGGAAAAGTTGCAAACTGAGTATCGTATCTGCTGTTTATGGTTGTTTGACTTCAGTTTTGAAGAAATAAATTCAAGTCTTTGATGAGCTAATGGATAGTCTAACTACAGCCAGGAACAAAGCTGATTATTACTGTCTTAAAACAACTCGTTAGAACAGACATTTATTTTGCAAGCACTAATTTCAACAGCAACAGAAACTACTGAGGGCACTTTTAATAGAAATATAATATTTCTGCCAAATTAAACATGCAACTTTAATGGTAATGGAAGGGTAATTGGCACATGCATAGATATAATAAGATATTAAAGTTGTTTTAAGAAAGTGAATCTGTTAATTTGGTCTGAGAGGACCCAACCCCAGTTTCACAAAGGTTTATAGTGGTTCAAATGATTGCTGTTATTTAAACTTTTACACTTCATTGCATGGTTAATAAGGCAGAAAATCCTGCAGAACGTGCTACAGGCTGTACTAGAAGTGGTACAGCTAGCAGATATGAATATTTGTGCTTAGAAATAATTACAGATTTTTTAATATATCAGTAAAAAGAATGGGAGTGTAAAGGTTTGTGGAATACAATTTGTGTCAATCGAATAATTTTAGGAAACAGGACTGTTTTAAGATGGCAGAAAGCCCCTTTAAGCTAGGCTATTTTCAGATTACCCATTTGCTCATCAGTCTGATCAAAATAAAATTTTATTTCTTTAAACTGAGATGGTTCAGAGGTGATACATTACTCATTCATAACTTTTCCCCAGAAGCTGGTTTCAAACTAGCTCAAATTTTCCCCTAAGTGGGGCAAAGCATGATTAGTAAAAAGCACGTGTGGTAAATAAAATGAATTTTGTTTCTGAGACTTGATAATTACACAAAAATGCAAACTCTCCTGAACTCTCTTGATTCAGCAGGATAATGCTATTKGATTTAATGTTATTATGTGGAGGGTAAGAGGTCACAAAATGAAATAAATAAATAATATGTCATGAATTAAATAAATGTAAGTCTCCCATTAATTAACTAAATGTATCATTAAATGATTAAATACATTATTAAATAATTTAATGTGTTATTAAATTATAAAATGTGCCATTAAATTGTTAAATGTCCCATGGAATAATTCAATCAACCTTTTGAGTTATGAAAGTAAATAATTAAATGCCATTTTAAAGAAAACTTTTACTTAATAATATTTCACTAAGTATTTATTTTATGGCTCCTGTATGAGTGCYAACCAACTAACCGTTGTCTGTTCATGTTCCAACATGGCGGCTCTTCATGCAGGACTTTAATGAGCTCTGTCCTGAAGAGACATTTTWGACCAGAGGTGGGCAATCCTGGTCCTCGAGAGCCGCAACCCTGCTTGTTTTACTTTTTTTCCCTGCTCTAACACACCTGATTCATATGAATAGTTCCACAGAAGCTTGGTAATCACCCATTCATTCAAAMCAGCTGGGGTGGACCAAAGAAACAAGTAAAACATGCAGGGCTGTGGCACTCAAGTGGCAGGATTGCTCACTCCTGTTTTAGACCAATCTAGGAACAYAGAGGCTGGAGTTGCTCAACCAGAGTATGTTGTAGAAAAATTTAAACAGTTTATTGAAGTCGTTGGAGTTACTTCCGTACTCTTTAACTAAAGACATCAACCCAGTAATAGGTGGGTTTCATGTGACGTCACAATGCAGGACCAAGAGAGCGGAACATGCAAATGGAGAGCAAGAAGTAGGGAGGCTAAGTAATCTGAAAAAACGTCTTATGTATTCTGTAGTTTTTGGCTGCT